TAGAGACAGGGTTTCTCCACATTGGCCAGGCTGGTCTCGAACTCCTGGCCTCAGGTGATCCGCCTGCCTCTGCCTCCCAAAGTGGGGGGATTACAGGCACGAGCCACCACACCCGGCCCCAAGAAGACAATTTTCTGACCAGCTCTATTCTTAGGCTGATTTTAACCATCCTCAGATTGAACCTGATGTATTCAGACAGAGCTCAGAGTGTCAGAAGGAAGATCTGGGTTATAATCTTGGCTTCACTACATAGGAGCTCTAGGCTTGACCCAGCAGAGCTCCACCTCCCTAAGGCCCCAGTTCCTCCCGGATGCATGGAGGGGTGTGGTAGACATCAACATGCTTCACTGCCTCAGTTCCTTCCCCCTTTTCTGGGTGCAGCCCTTCCCTGCGGGGTAATGCTCCGCTCCTACACACATTTGCACCTTAGATTAGCTTTGTTTTTTTTTTTTTTGAGACAGGGTCTCACTCTGTCACCTGGGCTGGAGTGCAGTGGTACCACCATAGCTCACTGCAGCCGCAACCTCCTGGGCTCAAGCACTCCTCCCCCCAGCCTTCTGGGGAGCTAGAACTACAGGTGCACACTGCCATGCTGGGCTAATTAAAATAATTTATTTTTTAGAGGTGGGGTCTTGCTGTATTGCCCAGGCTAGTCTCCAACTCCTGGGCTCAAACGATTCTCCTGTCTCGGCCTCCCCAAACCCAGTGATCGCAGCCTGGCCTCTGCCTCTGTCTTTGCATGGCTGTCTTCCTTCTTTGTGTCTCTGTCTCCTTCTTCTCGTAAGTTTTTATTGGATTAGATGCCCAGCCTACTCCAGTATGACTTCATCTTAGCTTAACCAATTACATCTGCAAAGACCAGATAATGCCATTTCCAAATAAGGTCATATTCACAGGTCCTGAGAGTTATAACTTGAACTTGTCATTTTAAGAAATGCAAATCAGTTGGGTGCAGTGGCTCACGCCTGTAATCTCAGGACTTTGGGAGGTTGAGGAGGGCAGACCTTTTGAGGTCAGGAGTTTGAGACCAGCCTGGCCAACAAGGTGAAACCCCATCTATACTAAAAATACAAAAATCGACTTGGTTTGGTGGCACACCCCTGTAATCCCAGCTACGCAGGAGGTTGAGGCTAGGGTAATCGCTTGAAACCAGGAGGCGGAGGTTGCAGTGAGCTGAGATTGGGTCACTGCACTCCAGCCTGGGTGACAAGGGAGACTCCATTTCAAAAAAAGAAGAAGAAGAAGAAGGAGGAGGAGGAGGAGGAGAAGGAGGACGAGAAGGAGGAGGAAGAGGAAGAAGAAGGAAGAAGGAATAATAATAATAATAATATGGGAATTGGACTGGGTGCAGGGAGCTCACACCTGCAATCCCAGCATGTTGGGACGATTGCTTGAGCTCAGGTGTCCAAGACCAGGCTGAGAAACATAGTGAGTCCTCATCTCTACCAAAAAATTTAAAAATTAGCTGGGTGTGGTGGCACGTGCCAGTAGTCCCAGTTATTTGGGAGGCTGAGATGGCAGGATCACTTGAGCCCGGGAGGTCGAGGCTGCACTGGGCTGTGCTTGCACCCCCACACTCCAGCCTGGGTCACAGAGTGAGACCCTGTCTCAAGAAGAAAAAGAATACAGGAATCACTGTTTGAACAGATGATGGGCGGATAGCAGAGATGAGATGACATGATTCTAAAGTGGGATTTAGGGAGGGTCTCAAAAGAAAGCCCGAGTCCTGGGATGCTGTGCCCAGCCAGAGGCTGCTTCCTACCTGCCCATCCCAGCCAGTCTCACTGCCAGTGCAGCCTGGATCCATCATGAAGCCTCAGCCTCATTCCGTTGGGTGAAGCTTGGTGGTGGTGGGGGCACGGTCTGTATCCACACCTGCGTCAACAAGGAACCCACGTCCTGAGACACTCTCGTGGCTCTGGAGAAATTCTACCTAACTTCACCCTGAAACAAACCTCATGACCAACGTCCCATTTTCCACACAAGTTTATGACGCTCCCTTCCCAGTTGAGAGTATAGAGAACGGAGAACAGAACAGGGAGGGGATAATGTAGGTGTAAACCAAAGATAAAGTAAGGGGAGCTTTTGGTACCAGAAGACACCGGGAAGCGGGAGCAGATCTCTCTATTGGAATCAAGGGAGAAAACCTGCCCCTCTCACTCCTTGGTAAAATAACCTTTGCATTATTTTTATTTATTTATTTAATTTTTTTAAGATGGGGTTTCACCCTGGTGACCAGGCTGGTCTTGAACTCCTGACCTCAGGTGACCCACCCACCTCAGCCTCCCAAAGTGCTAGGATTACAGGCGTGAGCCACCGCGCCCGGCCACCTTTGCATTATTTAAGTGTCAAGGGTGAAAACTAATCAGGCCCGGCACAGTGGCTCACACCATCATCCCAGCCCTTTGGGAGGCTGAGACGGGCGGATCACTTGAGCTCAAGACTTTGAGATCAGCTTAGGCAACATGGCGAAATCCGGTCTCTACTAAAAATGCAAAAATTAGCCGGCCGTGGTGGCGGGCACCTGTAATCCCATCTCCTTGGGACACTGAGGCAGGAGAATTGCTTGAACCCGGGAGGCAGAGGTTGCAGTGAGCTGAGATCCTGCCATTGCACTCCAGCCTGGGGGACAGAGCAAGACCACATCTTTAAAAAAAGAAAAAGAGGCCGGGCGCGGTGGCTCACGCCTGTACTCCCAGCACTTTGGGAGGCCGAGGCGGGTGGATCACGAGGTCAAGAGATCGAGACCATC